AAAAAATTGAATCCCACCACTGAGCCATTGGGACCTATCCATAATAAGCTAGCAATGACACGATGCCAACTCTGTGCAATTGGCAGCTGCTAGAATATAATATGGATTTCTGAGAAAATATTGTAGAAGAGTTATTTATCACATATACTCTTAAGTGAGCAAACATTTTAAATTTTGAAAGAAAGATCTTCACCAGTGGGCCGCAGAACAAAAAACTACAACTAGGATTTCTGTTATTTTTTGGAATCTGAACTAACATGCCACAATGGTGAATAAAGTCTACCTAATGCTAAGATCTACATCAGAACTTTCCATAAAATCTATTATAATTTTTTCCACAATAGTACTGCATTGGAGAATGTAGCAAATTAAAACAAGAATCCTATTCATCCTTTCCATTACAGCTAATTAGTTAGTGATTTTCCTGGCAAGATTTCTAGTTCAGTTAAAGACAAACTCATAGGAGGGGCTCTCCAATGGAGAGATGTAGATCATCCCTAGCCTCGGCCATCCCTTCTTTAACAATACGAAACATTTAGCTCTCCAGATGTTGCTGAACTATTGCACCAAACCCTTTCACAATTGACCAAACAGGTTGTGCATGCTCTGAATTATTCTTCGTATTCAGATATAATTCATGAAAGAAGATAGTAATGCCTGCCCCTCTTTTAAAATTCCATTTTTTTTAAACTTGCAACCTTCTAGGAGATACTTTTTTAAACCACAGATTGAATTCCTGAGGACAGACGAACGCTTCGCATTCTTCTAGCACTTTTATTGTCTTTGTTTCATTTTGTCTAAAAATGCCTTTTAAAAATGTTGAAGAGGCTGCACTACACAGATGCTGAATATGCTTAAAATATTTTTTTTCTGAAAAAGAAATCACAAAAGACCAAGGCCTTCCTTAACCTGATGCTGGGGCTGCATTTGAAAAATTGGATTGGAAAAGATTAGATTACATTAGACCTTCTGGATTTAAACATGTTAAAGCTCCATTTAGATTTTAACATAATCTGTTCCATTCTCTGGAGCCATCAAATTGAGAATTCACTCTTACTAGTTTCATTCTTCCTCCACCCTTTTTATTAAATTTGCATCACTCTCTCTATGTGTGTGTGTGTATATATATGTTTATATATGTGTGTGTATGTGTGTATGTGTGTATGTGTATGTGCGTGTGTGTGTGTGTGTGTGTGTNCCAACAATCTGGGTCCTCATTTTAGTGACCTTGGAAGAATGGAAGGCTGTCAACCATGAGCCTGGTGAGATTCGAACTGCCAAATTGCAGGCAGCTGACAGTCAGCAGAAGTAGCCTGCAGTACTGCATTCTAACCACTGCACCACCACAGCTCATTATGTTGGTTCTTATTTTATTTATTTTGTCAATCATGTATAAGGTAACAGATATGTATAAACACGACTGTGATTACATGAAATGGATACAAATAAGTGGGGACAGTAGGACAGGGATGGTAGGCATGTTGGTGCGCTAATGCACGGCCCTTAAAAAAAGATGGAACACTTCACAAATGTGTGTGTCTTGCAGTTTAATAGCGCCAAATTCTGAATTTTCTAAAGAGAGTTGCAATACATTCAGTCCCACTGAGTGTTCAGGTAATGTTTCGCATACCTGTGAGCTCAGAAGTCCTTTCTCGGGCAGCTGCATTTCCTCGGGTCACTGAGTAGTCCATGCTGCTTGTTGATGGTGTGTGCATATTGTGGGATTCTGAGAAAGGAATGCAGGGAGGCTGCTTTGCAGGGTGAGGATCAGGATGAGTTGCACTGTTGGACATCTGTTGCTCACTTTCAAGAGAGGCATTTTGGAATGGGATAAGGAGGCTGAACCATGGGTTGAATCCACTGTGTCTTGGAACCAAGACTGGAGGCAACACTACAACAGAAGTTTTGAAAATAGAAAGAAGTTCTTTGGTGTCAGGCATACAGATAGATTAGATATAGATAGATTATAGATATATAAATTAGATAGACAATAGATGAGAGTGAAAGAGGGAGATTACAATGCTAGATAAATAGAAATGAGAGAAAGACAGATTGAAAGAGACAGATAGGAAGAGATGACAGAATATAGAAGATATAGATTATATTGATTAGATACATAATAGATAGACATGATACATAGATATAATACATAGATATTATAGGTAGGTAGGTAGGTAGATAGATAGGTAGGTAGGTAGGTAGGTATGGAGAGACGGGGGAAGAAGGAGAAAGGGGGGATGATAGATGATAGAAGATAAAAATCAATGATATATGACAGATGATATATAGGTGAGCTAGCTAGCTAGCTAGTAGATAGACAGATATAAACATGATAAATAACAATGACATATGATGGATGGATGGACGGACAGATAGATAATAAGCAGGCAGGCAGGCAGGCAGGCATAGATACTGTATATTTAATGTGGGAAAATGATGACAAGATAGAGTTAAAGAATCTGCATGGTCTTATCCAGACATTCACCCTGAATTAAGAATGATTGCCAAAACAATTAAGTTAAGGATCAAATGGTGTTGAATTATTGTTCTATCATCTAATCTATTCTCTGTCAGTGATTTCAATTGTATCTTTTCTGCATAACATTCAATACGTCCTAAGAAAGCAGCAAAAGGGACTTTACTATTTCAGCACCTTGGACAAGCACAAAACACAGGGAGAGGCCCCAACCAAGGGCACACAATTACAAGATTTTCAGTATCTGCTTTGCTAGATCCCAAAGGTAAGAGAGTGGCATCATAATGGGTTTTTAAAAGCACATAATTGTTTGTTTTTTATTTTTGTACCTAGCAGACAGCAGGCCAATTTACATGATCAAACAAGCAGGTTAAATATGAAGGTAGAATTCACTTAGACTAAGCCGCAGTTGAACAATTTGTTGAAGAAATTCTTGTTTGTATCATTAAAATTCACCTGCAGTTATTAAAAAATGCTTTGCAAAATTATCTGATTAAATGTAAAGAATCCAATTGTTTAAGGGGACATTAATTTTAACACCAATATATCACTTCTTATTGCTACAGTATTTTCTGCCATTTCATCAATGACACTGAAAACTCACTCTCATAAAATATAATCAGCTACATAAAATAAGTAGCCTAACAAAAGGTCAAATCACAGCAGCCAAACAGGAGAGAAAGAAAATCTAATCTGGGACTATTGGGGGCGAGTTATTACCATTGCCAGCACATTGCCGATGCACTTGCAGTAAAAATGAACTGGTCCCAGGGGTGAATTGCAACCCTTTGTATGCCCGTGGTCAATACATGCTCATTCCTATTAATAAGAATAGCATCTGAATCCCTCCTGTCTTTTCTTCTCTGGGTGACCTAACCTTAACTAAAAGTTTGCCTGTTGGATCTTTGATCTCTTTCTTTCAATCAAAGTTTCTGTGTAGCTCCCTCCTTTTTTTGCAGATAAGAATAATTATGCAACCAGGCAGGGCTGTCCTTTCCTAAACATGCAGCTGGCGGAATCACCTGGGGCTTCCACCCTTTGATAATGGTAAGGGTTGATGCAGACGTCCTTTAGCTTAGAGCCAAAGGGGAATTCACAGCAGGCTAGAGGTTTCAATTCATGCTGGGACTGCAAATCAGGCCAGCGCCATACTTGGCAGTAGATGACATGCGGGTATCTTTTGCGATGGAAGACCTGCATCCTTCCATCCAGGGAGTGGGGGATGGTCACACATTTGCTGGGCTGCCCAGGACAGCTGAGGGCTCTCTCCAGTTCCTGCAAGGCACCCCTTTTCTTCATCAGCTTCTTCACCAAGGAATCCACTGCCATTTCAGCCCACTTTTCTTCCTCGTCCACTTGCTTCCAGCCCAACAGCCTCTTCACAGCAGGGCCAGTAAAGGAGAACAGAGGGGTAAAACAGCTGTTGGAATGCATGAGGACCAGTAGATCTTCAGTGGTCCAATTTCTTCTTCAGTGAAGAACCTCAGTACTAGAAGGGATGCTCCTTCAAAATCAGACTGGATTTTGCTTGACCGGTCTAAGTGTCTTCAAGTAGAGAGGAGTTCTACAACAGAGGTAAATTATTGTTATGTTTCTCTTTTGCGTTTGTCACTTCCATTTTTAATCAGTATCATAGATTTTCAATCACCAAGAATAAGGTGGCAGTTGCTACAAAAAATATTATATAAATTACAATAATTATAACTTTGTATCTTCTCACAAAACATTTTTTTTAAATCTAGGGAATACCTATCAATAAAGTTGGAAGAAACCTTTTTTCTGATATTTCTTATCCAGGAAATGATGAATTAAAAATACATAGCAGAACTGTCTATTAATATTATTTTCATATTTTGGAAGCAATTACCATTCTCTGCACATTAGATATGAGACTTCGTGGGGATGCGTAATATTTACCAGAATGCCAGCAAGATTCAACTGCAAACAGCAAAACAGGTTCAGCCCATTGGGGAAGGTGGCTATATTAAGTCTAATAATAATGAGATTTCAAAAAATCAAAACGATGGTGGTTGATGCTCCTTCTTTAATATGGTCAACTGACTCGTTGATAAAGTATACTCCTCCTCTACATTGGGAGGGTGCCAAATTAGCAGAATCTCTGGCAGCCTCCTCTATGGAAGTACAAGTGAGATGCCATTCATTTCTGTGATCAGTGCTGAAATTCACCTGGTAGACAAACTCAATTCTGCAGGTTGGGTACGTGATCATGTATGACCGCATTCAATCAATATGAACAAATACAGGTATCAATGCACTGTGCTGTAATTTGAAAGAAACAGGAAAATGTCGAAGGCCATGTTTGCATTTATGGGAGAACCAATCAAATCTAAAAAAAACTATTATTTTAGAATGTGGGCAAGGTATCCCAAAAGTGCTTTTTTCCCTTCTAAAAGCAACTGGACTTTCCTGTTTTTTCTTGAAGACGTTTTACTTTTCACCCAAGAAGCTTCTTCAAGTCTATTAACTGGTAGGGAATGGAAGATATTTCTACTCCTTACAGTCAACTACTTAGAACTGAAGAAGCTTATTGGATGAAAAATGAAATGTCTTCAAGAAAAATCAGGAAAATCCAGTTGCTTTTAGAAGGGAAAAAAAGCACCTTTGGGATGACCATCATCTGGATGACTGAGAACCTCCATAGACATGTGGACAATATATATTTCAAAACTTGCTGTTGTAGGGGGGAAAAGCGACTACAGCAGTGGTGGGTTTCCTCTTTTTTTTACTACCAGTTCGCATGTGTGTGCACGCACAATGCTTCTGTGCATGCACAGAAGCGTCCGGGTGGGTGGGTGGAGTCTCCCGCCACTGCCACTACCGGATTGCCCGAAGCAGGAGCAACCCACCTCTGGACTACAGGCCCATCCTTCTTTCACCAGTGGAAAGAATATTTGCATTGGGTCACAGCCCTTAAACCAGATGTGACTGCAGATCATCAGCCATGTGGATCCAGGAAAACCAGAGATGGCTTCAGGAATGGCTGATTTCCACATGCACAGCATGGAAAAGGTGTTCTGCTTTAACCAACAATCCAGCCAAGCATTTTTACTCTGCATCAAGCTTATCTTGCTCTTTCCACTTCCTTCTGCCTTGGTCAGGTTCCATCTTTAGTACAGGTAGTCCTTACCACAGTTCATTTAGTGACGGTTCAAAGTTACAGGGGCACTGAAAAAAGTGACTTATGATCATTTCTCACACTTACAACCTTGGTAGCCTCCCTGTGATCATGTGATCAACATTCAGATGCTTGGCAACTGGTTCATACTTATGACCGTGGCTGTGTCCCAAGGTCATGGGATTGCTTTTGGGGAACTTCTGACCAGCAAAGTCAATGGGGCAGCCGGATTCACTTAACAACCATGTTACTAACTAACCTCACTTAACAACTGTGGCAAGAAAAGTCATAAAATGGGGCGAAACTCACTTAACAAATGTCTCACTTGATAACAGAAATGTTGGGCTCAATTATAGTCATAAGTCGAGGACTGGTTCTGGGCATCAGAGGGAGAAGTGGAGGTTTGCAATGGGTAACCTTGAATGCAAATGCAGAGCTGGTTACCCTCCTGGTTGCGGCTCTAGTTGCAAAAGCTCTTTGCCCCCAGAAGCTTTTTAAAGTGCAGGGAAAACGTTCAATGCGAAATAAAAGTTTTAGATATCAGGGAAAGGGAACGAGCACCTTAATGCTGAAATGCACAAGCGCTTCGCCTCCTTTCCTATCAGGGACATGAGGGGGGGAAATACGTTTTGCAAAGCTGAAGCGTTCAACCGCGCCCAAGAGCCCTTCCCAAACCAAAGAATTATGGGCTTCATCCAGGTTCCTCCCTCAAGTAAAGTTGTGCAGAATCGTGTTGCCTTTTTTAACTGCAACTTTTGAGGAGTTTGAAACTTAGAGCAACTTATGGAGAAAAAACCTTGGTCGCTTTGCTTTGCTTTGCTTTGCTTTTGGGGGGGTTCCAGCAACTCCGGCCAACCGTGGGAGTTTCTGCAGTCACACCGTTGCGCGCAAGGGCTTCTCCTGGAAGAGTTTTTATGCGGCAGTTTAGCTGGAGACTTACAGACTTCCTAAACGGGCGGCTGCAGCGAAGGGCCAGGTCGCACTCTCCCAACGACGGGAAGCTCCGGACGGCCTGATCTGGGGCCTCCCTCCCCCTCAATCCCCGAGGCGCGCCCCTTCCCACAACGCCTCCCCGCTGCGCCTCGGCCGCCCGGCGTCCCAGAAAAGGCTGCGGCCGCTCCTTCCGAGACCCCGGCGGCGGCCCTGTCCCCAACCCCAAAACAAAGCCCGAGAAAGTCCGCCCGTTTCTCCTTGCAGCGGGTGGTTGGAGCCGAGGCCGGGAGGGAGGGAAGCAAGCGGCGCTGCATCCAGAGAGGCTGTGCTTGGGGAACGACGCGTCCTGCAGAGCTGGACAGGGTGACTTGCAGAATTGCACTTCGTCCCATAAACTAGGGTGTCCAAACTTAGGAACTTTAAGACTTGTGGATTTCAACTCCCAGAATTCCCCAACCAGCCAGAAGTGAGATAACAAACTTTGCACTATGCCAACCAGTATTAAGGTTACAATTTACTAAGCTAGAATTAGTTCCTAACAACTAATTTGTGACAGTATGCAATAATATAAGCAGAAGCCAATCACAAAGCTTAATTGCTAATAAATGATTTCTAGCAGTCTATCAGCAGCAAACATCAAATATTGGTTTAATCGGTAACAATTCTATCAGAGGTCTTCAAACTTGACAACTTTAAGACTTGTGGATTTCAACTCCCAGGATTCATGCTGGGGAATTCTTGGAGTCCATAAGTTCCCAAGTTTTGACACCCCTGCCATAAACCCTAGTTAAGGAAAGCATCGCTCCATGCAAGGCGAACTTAGTTAGAGCTAAGTGTGTGAGGTGCGGCTTTTTCCCCCCCTTCTTTTACCGGGCTCGGCCGATTTCTGCTCCTTTTGCAGGAATTTGTGCCGATTTTGTTTTAGCATGCCGGGTCAAAAGGACTATGCAAAAGGTGTGCCTGTGCGACACTGGGCATGCAGGGAGACACGCGTGTAGGGAAGACTACGTAAGAACGCTCGCTCCACTTGAGCACCCCGAGGAGGCGTTCCTTTCCGAGCAAAGGGGCAAATGTAGACAGGTTTTTTTTTTTTTGTAAAAAGTGTATTGTTTTTAATCTCATACATACATTTACAGGTATACATTCCCATAGTTATTATTCACATTGTGTATTAGCAATTTTGAACATTCATTTTTCCATATGAAAATTAAAATATATAATCGGGATTGCTTTGCTTACCATCCCATACACCTATTTTATTTTACCACAACCCTGCTTTTCTTTCCTTTTCTCCCTCCCTCTTTTCTTCTCTACTTTCCTCTTTCCTTTCCTTTTCCATCTTCCCCTTCCTCTCTCCTACTCCTCTCTTCCTCTTCTCCTTCATACCCTCTCTCCTCCTCTCCTTTCCCCTCTTCCTTTCCTCTTTCTATTGTTGTGGCTGCATATTTTCCTCTTCCTCTGGTGTATTTTCGGGATGATATTCCAGCAAACCTGGTTCTATGTTTACCATTTACATTCCCTTTTCCTCGTTATATTTTCCTATTTATTATTTACACATATCTCATTCTTTAAACATATACTTGTATATTAATATTTTTCTCTTTTCCCCCTCTTCCCCCCTTTTTCATTTAATAGTGTGTCATTAGGGGTCCTGTTTCCCTAATTTTTATTTCCTATATTCTTATTCATACTTTTTCTAACCAATCATAAAATCTTCCCCATATCTTGTACACCGATTCCTCTTTATCCTTTATTCTCAAAGTTAATCTATTCATTTCCACACAATCCAAGATTATTATTTTTTATTCTCTCTCCTCCTGAAGGGATCTTGTTTGCTGTGAATGCAGACATTTAAATGAGCTTCATCCCTTCTTTTGATAATGGGCTGAAGCTGACATTTCCTAGGCAGAGGATTGGAGAAGGTCTGGAATGGAGGGTCCAAGGCAGGAAGGCGAGCAAGGAATTTGGGAAGGATTGGACTTGGGAATGTTCCCAGCGGGTGGAGAGGAGGTGGGGAAGGAGGTCCAAATTCAAGTCCAGTTTGGTGGCAAGGGTCTGCATAAGGTCTCCCCACCTTTTCCCACATGGATCCTGAAATATTTCTCCAGAAACGACTCTGGGGGTCTTTCCCCCCCACTACCAGTTCTGGGGGATTGCAGCTCAGGTAGGCCACAAAAGAAATGGTGATCACCGCCAGGAAGTCACCATTTGGGGAGAAAGATCATCCTGGATCAGGTTTGGAAATGGAGCGTTTCCTAAACCTACTTGGACTCCTTTGAGAATGCAGTTTTGAAGGCACCTCGTGGTCAGGAAGAAGGTCAACCATCAACAGAGAGATAAATGGTTGTTTATGGAATCAATTGAA